CCTCCCCAGAGCCAGGGCGTGACAGTACACCCCCCCCCCCCCAAAGGCGCGGACTCCCAACCGCGCCAACCAAATACCACAGGGAAGGACCCGGTTGGGCACTCCGCCTTGGCGGCGGATCCGGCTCCGGGCATGATCCCCCCTCCCTCTCTAACCCCCCAAAGTACCCCTGGTCCGGTCTGGCCCTGCTGACCGGAGCTGGACTGCACACTGGTGGAGCGGATTGCTCTAGCTCCGGCGTTTAAGCAGCTGACCCGTGCCGAACCAGGCACCGGTGGAACAGGCACGGGCTGTGCCGGACTGACGACGCACACCACTGGCTTGGTGTGGGGAGCAGGAACGGGCCGAGCCGGGCTGACGAAACGCACCCCTGACTTGGTGCGGGGAGCAGGAGCGGGCCGGACCGGGCTGACGAAGCGCACCACTGACTTGGTGCGGGGAGCAGGAACGGGCCGAGCCGGGCTGACGAAGCGCACCACTGACTTGGTGCGGGGAGCAGGAGCGGGCCGAGCTGGGCTGACGAAACGCACCCCTGACTTGGTGCGGGGAGCAGGAGCGGGCCGGACCGGGCTGACGAAGCGCACCACTGACTTGGTGCGGGGAGCAGGAACTGGCCGAGCCGGGCTGACGAAGCGCACCACTGACTTGGTGCGGGGAGCAGGAGCGGGCCGAGCTGGGCTGACGAAACGCACCACTGACTTGGTGCGGGGAGCAGAAACAGGCCGGGCCGGTCTGGCGACGCGCACCATTGGCTTGGTGCGGGGAGCAGGAGCAGGCCGGGCAGGGCTGGTGACGCGCACCATTGGCTTGGTGCGGGGAGCAGGAACAGGCCGGACCGGGCTGACGACGCGCACCATTGGCTTGGTGCGGGGAGAAGGGACGGGCCGAACCGGGCTGGCGACGCGCACCACAGGCTCGGTGCGAGGACAGGAACAGGCCGGACCGTACTGGGGACACACACCACTGGCCCTACGTGGGGATCAGGAACGGGCCGGACCGGACTGGTAATACACCCCAGTACCTCTCGCCGTGCCTCTACACTTTCCTCCCCTTTTGTGACCAGTGGACCCCGTAACCTGGCGGCCTCCTCTACTAACCGCTCCATCGCGGCCTCCTGCTGCCCCGTCGTCCACGGCGTGAGCCCCCCCCCCCTAAAAAATTTCTGGGTGTCTCTCCTCCTCGTGGACCAGGCCTCCATAGTTCTCGCCCAACTCTCGCTCTTCTGCTTCCAACTCCAGCCTCTCTCCTCCTCACACGGCTTGACCCAGTCGAGGTGGCACAGGAGATCCGCTAGAGATTCCCCTGGCGATGGCTCCTGGACACGCTGCTTGGTCCAGTTTTGGTGGGATCTTCTGTCACGATCGTCGGGAACAGAGGACCAAGGCGCAGCGTGGAAGGTGAACATATTTTTATTATATGAGTAATCACACGAACAAAACAACAAACGATAACGTGACGTCCTCGGTTTAAACACAAACCTAATTGGAACAAGATCCCACAAACACTGTGGGAACACAGCCTGTCTAAATATGGTTCCCAATCAGAGACAACCAGCAACAGCTGACACTCGTTGCCTCTGATTGAGAACCACTCTGGCCAACATAGACATACATGAACTAGAAAAACAAAGAACACTCACACCCTTGGCTCAACATACAAGCCTCCCCAGAGCCAGGCGTGACAGGTACACCTAAGCATTGGGTAACGATGAAAGAGATAGCATCACTGGAGGTACCGATTGAGCCGGTCTCCGCGTGTATGGGGGGTGGGACAAATGAGCTATCTGAGGCAGGTTGAGCGGGACTGGGGGCTCTACAGTGAAATAGTACAATTAGAACTAACCCAAACAGCAATAGGCTAGGCATTTTGACATGGGAGAGAGGCATAACACAATCACAGGTGTTATTCGAGAGGGCTAAGACAACAACTGGTAATGGCGACGAAAGTTTGGGCTGAGGCTAAACAGATAAACAGGATGGGGTACCGTGTAAAGGAACAGCCAGCAGGCATCAGCTGTGTAGCTGATTGATCATAAGGTCCAGTGAACAGCAATAGGTAAGTCCGGGAGCTGTTCGTAGGTTGCTACAGCACACGAGCAGGAGGCACGGCTGTTGATTGCGCGTGCTAGCGGGCCGGGGCTAGCAGATAGATCTTTGTGGTCGTCGCAACAGGAAACCGGTTGAAACCACATCAGACGATTACGTCGGCAGAACCAGTCGTGATGGATCGGCGGGGCTCCGTGTCGACACTAGGAGGTCCCGTCCGGTTGACAGAGAGGTAGATAGCCGGGAGATGGGCCTGGCTCGAGGCTAGCTCAAGGCTTACTGGTGCGGCGGGACAGTGGTGATTAGCCAACAACAGCCATTCGGTTTCTGCTAGCTTGTTGCGATGATCCGGTGTTAAGGTCCAGTGATTCAGTGATTCCGGCAGAAAATCCGATATGTTCTTGGTCGATAGCACGCTGTGCAGACTGGCCGATAATTGTCCAGGCTAGAGCTGGCTGGTAGGTAGTGCAGGCCACGGACAGTGGTGAAGACCGCTAACGGTGGCTAATAGCAAGTAGCTAGTTAGCTGGCTAGCTGGCTAGTTTCAGCCGTAGGTTCTGGATAAAAAGGTAAAATAAATAATAGAATCCGTTCCACATTGGGTGAGGTGGGTTGCAGGAAAGTATATTTAGTTAAAGGATGGAAAGTGAGATAGAGAAATATATATATGAAAAAAGACAAAAAACTAAAAAACAGGCTATTTACACGAGGACACAACAGAATACACGACCGCACTGCTACGCCATCTTGGTTTCGAATGTAGGATTGAGTTAGACACTTGTCAACTTCTCAGTGGAAGCAGGGCTGGTAAATTAGGTTTCACCTTCAGACCAAGCGCTTCGAGAAACTGTGCTAATTTCCACGAAATTAGAAAATGATATCTTGAATTTGTTATAATTTGACACATGGTTACAGTCGGAGCTCTGTGCTTGAAGGCAGGAAACCTCAAGCTGTGTCTTGGAGATCACCTCAACCAAAATTATAGTTTTTCTCAGTCCTTTTTGTGGAAAAAGAACATTGTTTTAGGTGAAAACAAAGTAGATGAAGCCCAACAATAGGAAACCTCGAGTCTTCTCAGAACACCATAACAGACATTCAACAAAATATACAGAATAATGCATTTTCTTGTTGCATTGGTATTCTTTGTGTTTTACTGTAGCTTGATTCAGGAGTTAGGGGGCTGTGGTTATACTTTACTTGAGCAATGCATCATACGGCTTATATACTATTACCACGATCATTACCACTATCACTATCCCATTACTACTAAGTATTTTCAGAAGACAATAATGCCATCAAGATAGATGAGTTGATGATTGCGGGTGAGGTCACCAAGCATCACTTCCATAAGACATTGGAAAATGACTGGTGCATTGCACAAACCAAAGGGCATGCCTGTCCACGCAAACAGCCCAAAGGACGTGGCCACTGCCGTCTCCTCCCGGCATAATGACACCTGTCGTAACCATTGAGAATAACAATCCTGATCTATGAGAATGCCACAATGACTACACCGTAATAGAGGAGTCGCGTGTGAATGCGGCACCAACCAGTCAGTGGCAAGGTCATGTTTTTAATACGGTAGCATTATATAGGTGTTCATGGTGCATACTGGTTTACTAGTTAGCCCTGATCTCTGGCTCGCTGCCTCACGTCAGTGTCCTGTGCGGATCTCTCTCATTAAACAGCTGTCAGGCCTCGGTCTGCACTCGCTGACAGCCACTCACACTGCAGGAGCACACACTCAACACAACCAAAAATTGCATCTCTAATACACAATCCCCCTCAGCCTCCACCTCTCCATACTGTACTGTAACTGACTGCCACATAGACCAACGCTCTGAGAGAGGTAGTGTGGTTTAAGTGTCATGCGATTGCATTGCTGTGAATTATCTGTCAGAGGTTGGTACTTGTAGACAGGCTATTTCACTGCAAAACATCCTATTATTCCCGAAACAGTCATATATCTATATGGGTCAATGTGATTTATTTGCGTATGAAACCTTTGTCAGTAAGATGGCAGTAAGTGTACTGTCTGTTTTAAGAAGTAGTCCCACAATAATAGAGGGACATTAAAAGGTTTTTACAGAGCCAACTGGAGGAGGAGGTTACATGGAGGAAAATGACTAATCAAAGCAGGGTAATCATGACTCACTTTCCCCCCCCTGAATGAGCTCCCCCGTCTCCCAGACAGGAACACTTCACATCACAACTTTGCCTCGGTGGCATTTGTCGCCATGGTTTTTACAGCTCATTACAGCTCGCAGGTACTTACGGCGTCTGCATTGCTGTTCCTGACGATGAGCACCTCTCATTGTACTGTTTGAACATTGAATTAGGTCTATGAGTTACATTTCTTCTATGAGCTCACTGAAACCAAAGATGATCCTTTTCCTGCCTGATGCATTTATATTTTCTACGCTGATCCATTGTTTTATTCATACTGATAACTGTAGAGCTACTGGGCTAGGCCTTATGTCAGTTTAGCAGGACTCTTTGCAGTGGTCTCATGCTTTGGTAGACAAATGATTCCTTCATTGAGCCAACATATCACAAAAAGTATTCACCAACGTGCCAATGGAGATCTTCTCTCTTCTCTCCAAACCCCACTGCTTCACAGCAAAGCTACCAGAGCGGAAAGCCTCTCGAACAGAAAGGGGCATGACGATAACACTCTGCAGTCCATGCTGCGAGAGCGAGAAGGGATCCTGGAAGGGCAGAGGGGATGGAGGAGTGGGGAGTGGGGAAGTGGTTGCATTGTGTTCCCCAGTGTGGCTCGGCCATTATTCATGTTTCACAGCTCCTCCGGAGGAGAGAATCGCATTTTTGCCACCACGGCCGCCGCCTGTCAGGAAAAGAGCGTGCTCCATCCATCCACACTTCCTGGGGACTCCATTACACCCTGATGGGCAGGGATTGAAAACCAATTGGGGATACAGGGGCGTAGAGAGAGCGATGTATGGGCACGCGGCACTGCGCAGGCAGGCAATCTGCTGTGATGAAGAGGCTTCTCTTGGCCCCAACCGCATCCTTCCGGGTTCCCCTTCAAGCCCCACTGCGCTGTCCGCTAGCCGCCGCCCACCCGGCGTATTGCGTTCCCAGAGGCCCCACAGCCTGCTGCCCATCAGCCCGGGTGCATCCATCCACTCCTCAGTGGATAGTGAATGAAAAGAGAGATGGATTCAATCGCTTCTGGAAGACAGGAGCGTGTGGAGACAGATAGTGGAGGGAGGAGATGCACTTGTGGTTGGATGTGTTTGCAGTTATTTTTACTTTTGCAAGTGGGGTACAGGTGTAAGTTATGTTTGGCATAACTTTGGAAGTTGGGCGCGAAGTGGGTTGGACTTGCAAAGCATCTCCATAGACTCTCTGCACATTTGTGTTTATCCTCTTAGAGAAACTGAGGACGTGTTTTGTCTGGATCCACAGCAGAGGCACTGAACGAACGGCTGCGATTTATTCAGCACGTCAAACCCCAGCTGTGAAAACAGACGCCCAATCATTGCTGAACATCCCTGAACGTTTCAGGAAGTTTTTGTGATAGGAGATTTTTGGTCTCTTATAGATTCTTATCTGAGTTTTGTGTTTTTAACTTAACGCGCTTGGGACTCATCTAGCCTTGCCCCTCTATGATTCCTTTGACATCATTTCCTGTGAAGAGGTTCAACTTTTTTCCCATTTTTTTATTTTAATCGGATTTCTCCACACTGAGTGTACAAAACATTAAGAACAACGCTGCCGGGTTTTTCACGCTCAACAGTTTCCCATGTGTATCAAGAATGGTCCACCACCCAAAGGACATCCAGCCAACTTGACACAGCTGTGGGAAGCACTGGCGTCAACATGGGCCAGCATCCCTGTGGAATGCTTTCATCACTGTGTAGAGTCCAAGCCCCGACGAATTGAGGCTGTTCTGAGGGCAAAAGGGGGGGTGCAACTCAATATTAGGAAACTATTCTTAATGTTTTGTACACTCAGTGTATAAACTGTTCTTTATTTAATCGAGCCCAGGAGTTATAGTTTATTTAGTAGGTGTCTGTGAGGGAGTTCTTGAATTATTCAAATTAGTTTTTATTAGTTTCAGATATAAGATGGTTCTAATTAGCCTGATGAGAATATAATGAACACTTGTTTTTTTGTGCTCTATACGCCTCTTCGCGTATTGGAACTGCTAAACAAACAGTGTTACGAACATCTCCTCTTGCAACGCTTTGGTTTTGTCAGAATTATGCTGTTTGTTGACACCATATTCACATATAACAAGAGTTAATGGTGCATCAAAAACTCCTGATCTCTTTGTAGACATGTCTTTGTTACTTTAATTATTCGTCCTGAACACTCTTCTTCTCTCTCTCTCTCTCTCTCTCTCCTCTCTCTCTCTCTCTCTCTCTCTCTCTCTCGTCTCTCTCCTCTCTCTCTCTCTCCTCTCTCTCTCCTCCGTCTCTCTCTCTCTCTCTCTCTCTCTCTCTCTCTGTATAGGTGCCCTATGTGAAAGTGGCCCCTGAGGACATTCTGAAGGTTCAGTTCCCCCGCTTCACCACCCTGGACCTGCGCCCCACCAACACAGACATCAGCCTGGCCGTGGCTGGCCTGCTCACCTTTTTCAACAGCACCACAGCCTGCCTCATCTGTGCCCAGGCCGACTGTGAGTGGGTCACGCACCACTAGCTCTTTGTTGCCGTTTGTACCATATACACACATTCATTTGCATGTGAACATACGTGGGCTCGTACACAAGGATGCACATTTCTGCATGTGCATATGCACTAGGGCTGTCCCCGACTAAAGAAAATCTTGATAGACCGAAAGTCGTCTGTTCTTTCAACCAATCGATTGGTCAACATTTTTAAAGGTGTATTTTTCCAAATATAGACACACCCTATGTATTTTAATCAAATCAACTGCATTGAGCTTGTCTGATTCTTTAAGCTTACTATTTGATGAAATAAGGCACAAATTACTCAAGAGGGAGCCAGAGATCTAGATAATCAGAAGAAAAAATCCTTAACCTGACCCAACCATTCTCCTACCGCTCCTGCTGGCTTTCGCAGAAACTGCCATTACTCTCCTGAAGTTGCCGGTAATAGGCTAGACGAGTAGTCGGCAACCTTTTTCATGTGGAATGCCAATTTATCTTACCATTTCTACCGATCAGTTATGGTTTTCATATGCACATTTTCGTGGAACAGTTTCATTTAATAACGTCTTCATATCTTAAATTAATTTAATGTGGTTAATCAAAATTCTATCGAAGTCTAAATGAAAACGATACAAACCTAAAAAGTAACTTCTATTGCCATTGCCAACTATGTAAAAATAGCCTACATAAAGCCATCAAATAAAAACATTGCAGCCTGCAGGTAGAAAATATCCTGAAAATAAATATCCTAAAAATCATATTGGCTACGCATGGCCTGTCTGCAATGAACTTAAAACATTGTATAATCTATTAACTTGGGTCTGGCCTGAAGCTTGTGCTAGCAAACTTGTATAAATATTCTGGTTTCCACAGCTGTAGGCTATTTGCGCAATGGATAAGAAACAGTGGTTGACTTGTACGGCACCTCAAATGTTCTACTGCTTGAGGTCCTGTTCCTCTTATAGAATATTAGCTCAAAAGTATTGTGGAGCTCCTGTACCTAAATATAAACAGTACCAGCACCCAAAATGAGTACCGGAACCTATTTCAGTCCAAGTCAAGCACTGATAAGAAGTAATCAGGTAGGCCTATTTTATGACATTTCCACTGGATCAGAGCATGACATTTTTCTCTTTCAAGCTGAGTGGTTATCGAAAGGGAGAGCGCTGGAAAGATTTCTCAAATACATTGAGGAACTATTGTAATTCTCAATGGATGTAAACACAGGCTGTTTGAGGGGAAGAAAACATTACATTGAGAAGCTCCACAGCTCATTAGTGGTGGTGCATTAAGCCAATCAGAAATAGTATCAGATCCCCAAATGGGCACATTTATAGGCCTACATTTACGGACAGGCCAGGTAGCCAATAGGCCTGCTACCTGGCCTGTGCATTATTCAGACCCCTTGAATATTTCCACATTTTGTTACATTACAGCCTTAATCTAAAAACTGAAATATGACATTTACATAAGTATTCAGACCCTTTACTTAGTACTTTGTTGAAGCACCTTTGGCAGCGATTACAGCCTTGAGTCTTCTTGGGTATGATGCTACAAGCTTGGCACACATGTATTTGGGGAGTTTCTCCCATTCTTCTCTGCAGATCCTCTCAAGCTCTGTCAGTTTGGATGGGGAGCGTCGCTGCACAGCTATTTTCAGGTCTCTCCAGAGATGTTCGATCGGGTTCAAGTCCGGGCTCTGGATGGGCCACTCAAGGACATTCAGAGACTTGTCCTGAAGCCACTCCTGCGTTGTCTTGGCTGTGTGCTTAGGGTTGTTATCCTGTTGGAAGGTGAACCTTCGCCTCGGTCTGAGGTCCTGAGCGCTCTGGAGCAGGTTTTCATCAAGGATCACTCTGTACTTTGCTCCGTTCATTTTTCCCTTAATCCTGACTAGTCTCCCAGTCCCTGCTGCTGAAAAACAACCCCACAGCATGATGCTGCCACCACCATGCTTCACCGTAGGGATGGTGCCAGGTTTCCTCCAGATGTGACGATTGGCATTCAGGCCAAAGAGTTCAATCTTGGTTTCATCAGACCAGAGAATCTTGTTTCTCATGGTCTGAGAGTCTTTAGGTGCCTTTTTGTTAACTCCAAGCGGGTTGTCATATGCCTTTTACTGAAGAGTGGCTTCCATTTGGCCACTCTACCATAAAGGCCTGATTGGTGGAGTGATGCAGAGATGGTTGTTCTTCTGGAAGGTTCTCCTGTCTCCACAGTGGAACTCTGGATCTTTGTCAGAGTGACCTTTGGGTTCTTGGTCACCTCCCTGACAAAGGCCCTTCTCCCCCGATTGCTCAGTTTGGCCGGGCGGCCAGCTCTAGGAAGAGTCTTGGTGGTTCCAATCTTCTCCTATTTAAGAATGATGGAGGCCACTGTGTTCTTGGGGACCTTCAATGCTGCAGAAATGTTTTGGTACCCTTCCCCAGATCTGTGCCTCGACACAATCCTGTCTAAGCTCTACGGACAATTCCTTCGACCTCATGGCTTGGTTTTTGCTCTGACATGCACTGTCAACTGTGGGACCTTATATAGACAGGTGTGTGCCTTACCAAATCATGTCCAATCAATTGAATTTACCACAGGTGGACTCCAATCAAGTTGTAGAAACATCTCAAGGATGATCAATGGAAACAGGATGCACCTGAGCTCAATTTCGAGTCTCATAGCAAAGGGTCTGAATACTTATGTAAATATGTTTTTTTTGTGTGCACAAATCTCTAAAAACCTGTTTTGGCTTTGTCATTATGGGGTATTGTGTGTAGATTGATGAGGGGAAAAAATAATTTAATATTTTTTAGAATAAGGCTGTAACAAAATGTGGAAAAAGTCAATGGGTCTGAATACTTTCCGAATGCACTGTATGTCTATGTGTAATCAGGTCCCCAACATTGACAGGAGCACTCAAAACAAAAGACAATGACTAGATTGAATTGACAAAACTCGTAAATGGAATGAAATAAACCAAAACTTGTTTCTCACAAGTGTAGCATAGGTTGTGCGCTCTGCAAATAATGTGTCCACTGCGATAATGAGAATGGTAAGACTGGAATAATAATAAATTGAATGCATTAACAGAAATAAATGTTTAAATTAAATAAAAATGTATGCACTCACTAACTGTAAGTCGCTCTGGATAAGAGCGTCTGCTAAATGACTAAAATGTAAATGTAATTATCATAACCAAACAAAGATTAGAAATTATAGGAATTAACGGTAAATGTGCTACTGGTGATATATGTAATGGGGAAGTGATATACACTAACAATCAAACGCAAACAATTGAGACAATGAAATAATGAAAAATGTGCACAGATTGGCGGGAGAGAGCGCATTCTGGGGAGAGAAGTGCGTTGCGCTGCATGGTCATTCTGACGTCTGCATTGGCCATTGTGCATTGTGTTTATACAGGATGTATTGCCCCTACCTACCGTCAACCAATCATGTCAATGCGGAGCTAATACAGAGCCCTCCACATTGTTACAACATTTGGGAGGCGCATGGCGTTGCTCGATTTGGCCTCTGCATACCTCCTGAGGCTCCGTAATTGCGTCACACCATCCATATGGAGCTTCCGACCACATTTTTGGATCAAGCATAAATTGGCTTTTAGTCTAGGCCTCTGCAATGGATTAGTTCACTGAGATAGGCGCAAATATATAGACTAAAAAAATCTCGGTCAACCAATAGCCTATCGACCAAACTATTGACCAGTCGACTAATTGGGGTCAGCCCTAATATACACACACACACACACACACACACACACACACACACACACACACACACACACACACTGTGTGGTCTTGGGATACAGTGCATTCAAACAGCTATCCCACTGACACACACACCCTTTTGAAGATGCAGAATCACCCTGCAGTGGATACACCCACACACAAACCTATGTATAACCCAAATGCATTTACTCTTGCATAATTCTTCCCCCCCACAATGCATCATAATCTAGTAAAATGCAGGCAAATTACTTTGCTTTTCACATAGGCCATTAATGCATCTTCCTCTTTTATTCCAGTGTGATGTCGCATACACCTATCATCAAACACCTCCCTCCCTGAGATGATAATGTCATCTCTGAACTTAAAAAGAGAAATTCATGAAAATACCCAGTATGGATCCATGATCAAACCGCCAGACTCAAAGACGTCAAAGACAAAGCAAAAAAAAAGTATGAAAGAATGGAAGATTAAATCCCAGTCTGTTTCCACCCTTCTCCGTACATGAATCAGTGATTACAAGTACCCGTACAAAGTCACATTGACCCCATCTGCTACAGGCCAACTTTCCCCTTAATCAGCTTAGGGCTTTGAAATGTGGCGGACTGGATTTCAGCTCTCGATTAGAACAGAGGAGCTCTCAGCTGGTACGAGCCCCCCAGCCCCACCATCAACCACACCCCTCACTTATGTTCCAACCAACTTCAGAAAAGAATGGTTGAACGTTTGTGCCCATCCAAGCCAGTTAGACTCAAGTGTTACCCGAGAAACGGAGATAACAAGGAATAAAAGAGGAAAGATAAAAAATTTTGACGCCCACCAAAGGCTAAAGACGTTAGTGACTCAGAACTGCCTGGACTTTGATTCTTGACAGCGTCAAAACTAGCTAATTAGTTGTTATTTTCCACTGGGTGTTTAAGCGTGTTGCTTTCAATCTGTCGTTTAACGGAGAGCTCATCAAACGATGTTGGTAATTAGCCCACAGACACATGACAGTTCTGCGCCTCGCAAGAGTTGTGAACTTCTGTGAAATATTGACATATCCATGAAGGGCGGCGATCTCACCATCTACAAGCTGTGTGAGATAGAAACCTCAAACTTTATAATGGCGGTTTCCTTTTTATATGTCTCTGTCTGAGCTCCTGTCTGTGTCGGTGTGGGCTAAGGGGGAATCGGTAAGGCTGCTGAGGGGAGCATGGCCCATCCCGTCCCTTCCTCGTCAGTGAGGAGAATGCCAGTCACTTTAGCTGATTGAGGGGAATCTAACCTTACTACTGGAATCGTACGTGGGGGCGGAGGGAGCGTTTGTCTGGAATTGACACGGGGGGTTGTAGTGATTGCTCTGCCATGTGACCCCTTCTGCAGCGCCACTGTAAAATACCAGTGACGGCTTGGGCTCGGCAATGTGCTGGAGCAGTAGCAGTAGCCGCGGTAGCGTTAGCTGGCTGGCAGAGGCCCCACGACGCTCGGCGCTGGCCTCATTAATCAGCGCGGCCGGTGACAGCCTAATAGAGCGTGGCCAAGCGTGGCCGAGTCATGAATATTTCCCAGCCTGACCCTGGCTTCCTGGCTGAGAGAGAGAGATGAAGAGAGAGAGAGAGAGAGAGAGAGAGAGAGAGAGATAGAGGAGAGAGAGAGAGAATGAGAGAGTAGAGAGAGAGATAGAGATAGAGAGATAAGATAGAAGAGCAGATGATATAGCGAGATCGTGCGATCGATATATAGACGATCTCATTAGCGATATCTAGCTCTCGTATGATATCTTATACGCTAGCTATATATCCTCTTCATCTCTAACTGACCATTACGAGCCCTCTACCACCACCCAAAGGCACAGCTAGCGCAAAGAAGGACACCCATTAATCTGGCTAACCTGCCTACTGCTATCGATGGCTGTGTGGTTGTGTGTCACCGCAATCATGGAGTAGTACAGTAGGACATAGAGAACCTAGCCACAGGGGTGGAGGAGGACTGTGTGGGAGAGTGGAGCGCTTTGTTCACAGGGAGGTTAGTGCATGGGAGGTCAGCTGGCGGGCAGCAGGGGTGGTGGAAGGGGACAAATCACCCACACTGTACTTCTTGGGGACTTGCTCAGACAAAACCTAGCGGGGACTGGGGGGCATCCTGGTCAACACAAAATCTTATGTTATGAATCTGCTATCATCTAACGTAGCATTTTATAATCTGAATTGAATGAGCTGGAAGTAAAGCAAATAGTACCCTTTGAATGTAAAACACCTGAAATGACTTCGCTGATGACATGCACCTCAGCAACCAACTCCTTATGTTTTTTATTGAGAGAAATTAGTCTCATCCAAATGTTTTAAAGGCACACACACACACATGCCCAAGTTCTGGGCTTTCTTCACCTGTCAAGGTAGACGTTTGTGTCTCCTTGGAGCGGAACAATTATAGGATATGTTTGCTCAACGAACCGACTCTCTGCTCTGAAAATGAGTAATCTGTAATTAAAGTTGATCAAGAATGTCTCTCTGTCGCCGGAGAGAGCTGGATCAATAAACTCTTTGGGAAGACGGACCGGTTAACTGGGGTGATGAAGTGATTTAGCCGGTACCGGCAATGACTTGTTGTTGTTTGTTGTCTGGAGATCAAGCTGAGCAATCCTCCCGACGTGATGACATTTAGAGAAAGTTTCAATACGGATTATAATATATTTACAGATCCAGTAACAGCAGACATCAGCCCACCGTAAATGTCCCCATCAGAATAAATTTTTGCTGTGCTGTCAGTTCCGTTGCACTTCCTCCCTACTGAAAGAGAGCAGTGAGTGAGGAAACTGTGGAGATAAGATGGTTCCACCAAAGGCTCTAAACAGAGGGATGAGAGCTTCCTCCATTGGCTCTCCCTGGTTTTTCTTCTACGTTTCCCCTTCCTTTCCCCTGACCGAAGACACTAATTTGATGTGATACACAGCGTAATGGGATTTTGATGTGTGGTGCTGGGGGGGGGGGGGGGGCTTTTTTCTCCTCTTGATATTTTTTCTCGCTTTGGTGTTTAATGAGAACAAAGCCGAGGAGAGCCCTGGTCGGCTGTCTGCTCGTCTACCAGGATGAAAGATGGAAGAAAGTTCCTTTTCAACAGGGAACGATGAGAAAGGATCACTCAGACCCACAACATCCCAAACTCCCCGTCCGTGCCCATTAACGAGCTCTACTGACATGCTGAACTGTTTATATAAGAGAGAGTGATAGACTATCAACTTTTTGATCTGTGTGGTTATATTCATGTACTGACACGTTACGAATGCCTAGACATTAGCACCTGTCCTATCCCAAGCACTCCAGTTAACGAATGCTGCAGGTCTGGAGGGAAAACTACATTGAAGCAATTTAACTCTCTTCCATTCGCCCATCAATCGATTAAATCACCCGATTTATCATGGTTATTCAGGTTCGGCCTGTTTAAAAAGTATATCTATCTTGTACTGTGAAATGCCATGAAATTCTGCAGACTGCACCCATTTGGTTGTACAGTACAGGGTTCCCGGACAGCAGGAGTCCAGCAGCCCAGTCCAACAGACTAGGGTGCAGCCAGTTGGGTGCTGTGTTGACACTGGCATGAACCTGGGATTGGTCCTGTCTGAGCAGTGTATTTGCATAGAGGCACTGAGTGCAGGAAGGTAAATGAGAGTGGGGGCTTTGTGAGAGCCCAGTGAAATGTGACGGCCTGTGAAAGGGGGAAATGACTGGCTGCCCAGACTGAGTGGCAGGCCCTACCTTTATCTGTCTGCCTGAGAGGCAGCATCAGGCAGTGCTACAGTATGTGTGGCCCATGCCAATGAGGCACACCACATGGCAGCATCAGACACCAACTGCTGCAGGGAGCAGCAGCACAGCCTAAACCAAGAAAACAGACTTCACACGTCTCTAACTTTCAACGGTCTCCCTTTTTCACGGCTAACCGAGAAACAGTGCCTCCCTGTTTTAGCATAATGATGTTCTTTTTGATTAGCATGGGTTCAACGTGAAGCGACATGGCTGCCAGAATAGATGTGACAAAGGTCAGGGCCACAAAAGAGATTGTGAAATGGAAAAGTACATACACCATTTTATTTCTGTTGCTTTGAATCATGCATAGCCTAGACACTAAACAGGTCTCTCCTGAGATTTCTTTCCCACTGGTTGAACGGAAGGGTATGACAGGAGGGGAAACTCCTGCTGTGAACACTGAGCAGCGTAGTGTGCTGTCTAATGTAATGTACTACATGTGAAATTGGCATGGGATGCCATGCAAGCAGGCAATGGAGATTGAGCAGTTTTTTAAGCCTCATCACAGATATGCTGAGTAACTCAACAGGTAACAGAGCTGACAGTCTCGGAGCTGACAGGCGTCATTGCTGATGATTTGTGTTTCTAGGAGAGACAAACCGTTAAAGGCATTAGGATTCAATGAGTTGGAACACGTAGTGCCTTAGGAACAGCTGCTGCTGCTACTGCATGTAACCAAAGGAAGAAAACACTGATTATATGTACATTTCTACTATGATCCATGCTGGTCTCAGTTGTATTCTAATATACTGTATGTCTTGACTCCTATGAATGTATAGTTTCAGTGAAGTGCCACTGGAAACATATAACATAACTAAAGCGGGAAAAACCCACAGCAAAGGGATTATATCAAAATGATTTTTTCTACTAGGATTAAGGCTTGGTATCCGTTGTATTGTAATTGTATTACAAGTTTCAGTAAAGTGCCACTGGAAACATATTCATTACCTCACTTATAATTAACCCATATCCAATCTCTTTAAAGCGTTTCTGGGAACTAAATGCTGGAGGTGGTCTTATATCACCTAGCAATTAATGACTTTATAATTAGCCGTTATTACAGGTCATCAGTTAAATTATTTTAGGTGGGAAGGATTTTAATGACCGTGTTATTGACAAACAAGGCATAAAAAGGGACTTTTTGTTTATCGAGCGAAAACAAAACATTGTCACGTCTCGTCAGAGACAGGCTAAAAATAGCGATTCACTGTTCTTTTTATGAATATGGTGTTTCTCACACAAAATAATGTCTTTGTATTTTTTTACTAATTCAAATTACCTTTTTTTGTACTTTTTGACTGTCAGTGCTAGTTCTCAGAAATGTGACTTTAATACCCAGAAATTCATTACAGATTACCCTTAGGAGATTAACTGTATACCTGCTCATAATAATATCACTGTCTTCGTCCCTGTCCCCACAGGCTTATTAAATCTGGAGAGACTGCTACGCCAGTTTCTCATCTCCAAGGAGACCCTATCGGTTCGGATGCTGGATGACAGCCAGGATCCCACACCCCTTCTCAAGGAGATCCGCGATGATAAGACTGCCACCATCATTGTGGACGCTAACGCAACAATGTCCCACATCATTTTGGAAAGGGTGAGTCTGTCTGTCATAACGATTTACAGTGAGCTCTTTCCCGATGTTCTTAGACATCTCAGCAGTAGCTGATGATGATAAAACAAATGTAAGATCTAAATGTCGATGCCATGATAAAGTTCAGGATCAAGGTTGATATTGAAAATAATTGAACAAGCTACAGGCTGAATCACTTACTGGTGAATGAGCGTTGGACTGAATGAAGGTTAACATGAAACATCCTTCACCGATCTGGTCTCCTGTACATAGGCATACTACCATTAATAAACCATGGAATATATGTAACTCCATATTTGGAGACTAGAGTGGTATGCAAATGCACTAGAGGAGGTTGTTGAGTGCCCTTGGGCTTAGCACTTAAACCACTAGCGTACCGAAGAGTAGCAGGAGAGATGGGAAATATTGAGAAAATAAAACCAATGCTAGAGATGGGAAATATAGAGAAATTAAAAACAATGTAATTCGCTTTTTTTAGAAAAAGGTCTAGTCAGACAAATCATTTTACTTCAAGTGACAGGCGTGAGATGTAAATCATGTTCTGTTCTGTGATCATTCATTAATAATTGAGAAGTACATTCATCTGATTCGTTTTTGTAAGATCAGAACGACTATGAAAAGAAGCAACCCTGCATCCTTAAATGGTTGATCTTTATAATATATACAATCCAAAACATCACAAACACCCAATAATATTGTTTGAGTATAAAGAAAGCAGAAGAGCCAAGGTTTATTACTATTTTTCTTTTCTTTTCCCTTTCTGTTGGTAGCAACGACTTTCTTTGTTGATAAAATAACCTATTTTTCAATCATGGAATGATGAACTCTTTTTGAACTATTTATGCTTTCTATTGAAGGCACTCATCAAGTTATATATTGTGTGTTTATAAATCAAATAATAATTTGGTGGGTGCTTATATTTGTCCTATTTCACACATGTATTAATAATGTGTTTTTTTGCATAACCCAACTCTCCCTGAGAGAGTGGGTACACGGCCAGGGTCTGCCATTATCAACAGCGACCCTGAAGCAAGTAGGGTTAAATGCCTTGCTCAAGGGCACATCGATAGATTTTTCATCATGTCAGCTCAGGGATTAGAACTAGCAACCTTTCAGTTACTGGCCCAGTGCTCTAACCGCTAGCCTACCTGTTGCCCCGTGAAATTGCCAGCTGAGATTGGCAGCTCCATGGAGATGCCAGGGATTGATCCTGGGGCCTCATACATGCAAAGCATGCACTCTACCACTAAGCTACATCCTCTCAGTTGTGAAGAGCTAGTCTGACAAACATAATAAGATCTAATTGGACATTCATATCAGATGAGACTATTCTTTGCAGTAAACTGTCAATATGACCTTTCAATGATGTCTGTTTCCACTAATAACAACCATACCTGAAGTGAACAGAGAAGTTAGCAATTAAAGCAACAAAATAGAATACTCTGTAGCTTTGCAGAGTTCTTCCGACACCAACATGATGTTAATAATTTGCGTGATAGGACAAGACTCCTGCTATCCATTTTAAAGAGCTAAGATTAGATCTAAAAGGTGACAGAAACACAGGTGAAAGGCAGCTTGCAGCATATGGCCATGTCGTAATTAAAACATAGAGATTGGATGCATGGCTGCAGTGAAGGAGACAATGACTAAAGGGAAATGGAGAGAGAGAGACAGAGAGACGAACAAAGAGACAGACAGAGAGACAGACAGAGCGACAGCGAGACAGAGACAGAGACCGAGAGAGATAGCAATTGAGCACTGGCTAAGGGTGCATTCTAGAGTTGAATATTTTCCCAGTATTTTACAAATGTTCCATCCAGAGAATGAATCACTTTTCTCCCGAAAATTCAAGCCTGATGTTACCTGAGCCTGATGAGCCATACATTAAAGACATTTTATGAGCCCAAGCCCAAATGATTGTGTCGCTATCCAATACATATATGATATATAGGCTACTGCATTTACGCACGACAGAAAAACATAAAACCCATAGGTAACTAGCTATATGCTCTCTTGGGTAAATAAATGAAACAAGCTCCAGTAGGCTAATCATTTTGAGTGTGAACTGTATTACTGTACCGTATTGTATTATACTGTATTATATGGACTGGAATTACGCACATCGTTCAAAACATGATAAAATTGAGAGAACGTGATTCTGGTGCAGCACATGCAGCCTACAAAGTTACAAGCATAGGCTAGCGAATTTGATTTTAATTTTGAAATATAATAGGGCCTATTTGTATAATTAGTAGGCAAACGCGTATACAGTGCATTCGAAGGTATTCAGACCCCTTGAGTTTTTACACATTTCAGCCTTATTCTAAAATTGATTAAATTGTTTTTTTCCCCCTCATCAATCTACACACAATACCCCATAATGACAAATCCAAAACAGGCTTTTATATTTTCCCTAATGTTATTAGCCTACCTCTTCTTTCTCTCTCTATTGTTGCCTCATTCCTTCCTCGCTTTCAACAGTTAAATGAAATAAGTTCTGCTCTCCTTATCTTCATTATTCTAATGACATGCTTGAATAATATAGGAATAGGACTAGATGCAGACAGCTTTCACTTCTCTTCACAAAGATTGAATGGTTATGGGTCTGAATAAATAACTACTATAGCCCACCGCCATCGTGCGTTCGCTCTTCTTTCAAACTACCTGTGAGTTCTATTGGCTGCTGTATTTAACATTCAGAAAACAAGAGCTTGCGTCCCTCTTCGAATTGTCTATTGGTATAAGAAATGCAAAAAAACGTATGTCCAGCAAGCTATTCTAGTCAAGCTTTTCCTGCAGGGACTCCAAGAGCTAAGGAGCGTTTTTTAAGGAGAGAGGCCAGCGGAGCACAGGTGAGTGCGAATTGCACAAGAGACAGAGGCTAGTTAGAAGCTTATTATGCATAACCCATCATTCATTATCTAAATATATGGCTAATACTGCACTGAATGTATTACCTGAAAGAGGTAGGCTAGGATATATATATACACTACATGACCAAAAGTATGTGGACACCTGCTCGTCAAACATCTCATTCCAAAATAATGGGCATTAATATGGAGTTGGTCCCTCCTTTGCTGCTATAACAGCCGCCACTCTTCTGGGAAGGCTTTCCACTAGAAGTTGGAACATTGCTGCAGGGACTTGCCTCCATTCAGCCACAAAAGCATTAGTGAGGTCGGGCACTGATGTTGGGCGATTAGGCCTGGCTCGAAGTCGGTGTTCCAATTCATCCCAAAGGTGTTCGATGGGGTTGAGGTCAGTGCTCTGTGCAGGCCAATCAAGTTCTTCCACACTGATCTCGACAAACCATTTCTGTATGGACCTTGCTTTGTGCACAGGGGCATTGTCATGTTGAAACAGGAATGGACCTTCCCCAAACTGTTGCCACAAAGTTGGAAGCACAGAATCGTCAAGAATGTCATTGTATGCCGTAGCGTTACGATTTCCTTTCACTGGAACTAAGGGGCCTAGCACGAACCAATGAAAAACAGCCCCAGACCATTATTCCTCCTCCACCAAACTTTACAGTTGGCACTATGCATTCGGGCAGGTAGTGTTCTCCTGGCGTCCACCAAACCCAGATTAGTCCGTCGGACTGCCAGATGGTGAAGCATGATTAATTACGCCAGAGAACGCATTTCCACTGCTCTAGAGTCCAATGGCAGCAAGCTTTACACCATTCCAGCCGACGCTTGGTGATTTTAGGCTTCTGTGTGGCCATGGAAACCCATTTCATGAAGCTCCCGACGAACAGTTATTGTGCTGACGTTGCTTACAGAGGCAGTTTGGAACTCGGTAGTGAGTGTTGCAACCGACGACATACAATACGCGCTTCATCACTCGTCGGTCCCGTTCTGTGAGCATGTGGGGCCTACCACTTCGCGGCTGAGCCATTGTTGCTTCTAGATGTTTCGCATATACACTACCAGTCAAAAGTTTAGACACACCTACTCATTCCAGGGTTTTTCTTCATTTTTACTATTTTCTACATTGTAGAATAATAGTGAAGACATCAAAACTATGAAATAACACATGTGGAATCATGTAGTAACCAAACAAGTGTTAAACAAATCAAAATATATTTGAGATTTGAGATTCTTCAAAGTAGTCACCCTTTACCTTGATGACAACTTTGCACACTCTTGGTATTCTCTCAACCAGCTTCATGAGGAATGCTTTTCCAACAGTCTTGAAGCAGTTCCCACATATGCTGAGCACTTGTTGGCTGCTTTTCCTTCACTTTGCGGTCCAACTCATCCCAAACCATCTCAGTTGGGTTGAGGTCGGGGGATTGTGGAGGCCAGGTCATCTGATGCAGCACTCCATCACTCTCCTTGGTCCAATAGCCCTTACACAGCCTGGAGGTGTGTTTTGGGTCGTTGTCCTGTTGAAAAACAAATGATACTACCACTAAGTGCAAACCAGATGGGATGGCGTATTGCTGCAGAATGCTGTGGTAGCCATGCTGGTTAAGTGTGCCTTGAATTCTAAATGAATCACTGACAGTGTCACAAGCAAAGCACCCCCACACCATCACACCTCCTCCTCCATGCTTCACGGTGGGAACCACACATGCAGAGATCATCCGTTCACCTACTCTGCATCTCACAAAAAAAAATCTAAAGTTTGGACAGATTTAATGTCCATTGCTCATGTTTTCTTGGTCCAAGCATGTCCCATTGCTCGTGTTTCTTGGCCCAAACAAGTCTCATCTTCTTATTGGTGTCCTTTAGTAGTGGTTTCTTTGCAGCATTCGACCATAAAGGCCTGATTCACGCAGTCTCCTCTGAACAGTTGATATTGAGATGTGTCTGTTACTTGAACTCTGTGAAGCATTTATTTGGGCTGCAATCTGAGGTGCAGTTAACTCTATTGAACTTATCCTCTGCAGTAGAGGTAACTCTGGGTCTTCCTTTCCTGTGGTGGTCCTCATGAGAGGCAGTTTCATCATAGCGCTTGATGGTTTTTCCAACTGCACTTGAAGAAACTTTCAAAGGTCTTGACATTTTCCAGATTGACTGAGCTTCATGTCTTAAAGTAATGATTTACCGGTTTCTTGCAGTTATTCATTCCAGGAAAAGGGAGTGGTTTTGGGCGGTAAATCTCGGGAACCAGGTTTTTGCCATTCAACCCTACTGCATGCCAGTGCCATAGCAGGACTGGCACTGGAAAAGCCAATCCCTCACAATATCCTCTAAGGAGACAAGCAAAAATTTGCCTGGGTTCCCGTCCGCATCGCTCTGGCCAAATGCCACGCCCACTAAAGTTTTTTCTCCACAATAAGTCTGGATTTGCTCCCTCCCCGGCGACTTCTCGAATGCAAACACATTCAAACCATTTGGGTTGGGCCAGAGCCGGCCTACACAAATCATGAATCACATAATTTTGAGTGATCGATAGAGCAGCGAAATTAAATTCAGGGTGAGTCATCAGGCAAATCTAAAATCCCTGCCCCAATGAATATTTCTCTACATTTTTTTCTCTCCCTCTAAAGTATTGCTCTCTCCCTCACTCACTCCCTCACTCCCTCCCTCCCTCCCTCCCTCCCTGATTAGTTTTTATTTTATCATATTTCTATATTCAGTTCTTACTGTATTATTTCTCTGCCCCTTTCCTCTTCAGTCTCAATCTTTCCCTCAATCAGAGATACCGATGGCTGTTGCCAGGCATCCTGTCGCCATGGCAACTCGGGGGCAGAGAGTAACAACACACAGGAGCTGGGATTTATTTCTATATCTACGCCTCTGTCCTACAGTCGCTCCATCCTCTATTATCATTCCTCTGTCTTCTACTCCTCCTTTTCTGTGGATAGTTTGTTGGCACGCAGCCCGCTCATGAGGAGAGGATGTTGGCCAAGCAAATAAATTATGTTTGCCAACATTTTTTGCTACACTGAGTATTTAATTACATGGTCAACTGTAAGAACTTTGTAGAAAAGAGTCTACGCTTATGCAGGGACCCATATTATCTTCCCGCAGGACATTCTATCCTCTTTGTTTCTGGATGTTTACATCTTTCGTTAGAATGCTGGTCAGCCAGAGGTCGACTTCTTCCACTGAAGACAGTGGGATTTCTTTCAATACTCTCAAAAGTGTTAATTTAACACTGGATCAGTGGGACTCATATATGCTCTGTGAAAGTGTTACATTTAACACTACAATAGTTAAATACACCGTTTGTGAGGCTTCAGCTTTAGCATCACTGAATGTAATCTCGATATCTCAGCCCCCCATGTTGTCCTATTATACAAGGCTGCGGTTGGATTTGCTCAGATATTGTGCTCAGCATGGGTGTGCAATAACTATACGCCCCAAAACAAACTATACGCCCCAAAACAAACTATACGCCCCAAAACAAAAACCAGGGGCTATAAGAATAACAGAAAGCTGAAGGTTGGATTTGTGCCAGCCATTATTTATATTTGTAGACTTGGTGTACTGACCTGTACTGCAAGTTTAAATACATTTTAAATGTGATTAAAAAGCTGGTAAACTTAAAAAGCTGTTACAAAAGCTGGTAAACTCTGCCATATGTTGTCCTATTGGCTGTCATTCTCAACACTTCAAGATCAAGACTTAGAACAAAGTGCATTTTGCAGTGCAGTGTCCTTCTCCACTAAATGCTGTAATTTGACTTACATTGACCTGACAATCTGATACAAATGTTAACAAACTAGCAAATAACGTATCAGGTGGTGGGTTTCCTCTTATTAGCAACTATTAAAATAATAACAACCATAGAATCAAAAGATAATGACTCAGTGTCATGGACGTGATCACATACACAGTGCTGTGAAAAAGTATTTGCCTCCTTTCTAATTTTCTCTACTTTTGCATATTGTTGATACTGAATGTTTCAGATCTTCAACCAAAACCTAATATTCCATAAAGGGAACCTGAGTGAACAAATAACACAACAACTAAATACTTTTTTCATTTATTTAATCAACAAAGTTATGCAACACCCAATGCCCCTGTGTGAAAAAGTTATTGCCCCCTTACACTCAATAACTGGTTGTGCTGAGTTAAAGCAGTTCTGCATGCAAGAGTGGGCTTAAATTCATCCACAGCAATGTAAGAGACTGATCAACAACTACAGGAAGCATTTGGTTGCAGTCATTGCAGCTAAAGGTGACACAACCAGTTATTGAGTGTAAGGGGGCAATTACTTTTTCACACAGGGGGATTGGGTGTTGCATAACTTTGTTAATTAAATAAATACAGTTTGTAAACTCAGGTTCCCTTTATCTAATATTAGGTTTTGGTTGAAGATCTGATAACCTTCAGTATCAAAAATATGCAAAAATAGAGAAAATCAGAAAGGGGGAAAATAATTTTAATCGCCCCTGTATCTTCTCACAAATCAAGACACAAAAAACGTCATCCCGTCGCTTGACTACTTAACCTATAATAACCCATGACCTGTAGATAGAATGTAATTGTTTTCTTGTAGGAAATAAGGATTTTATTTATTTATCAGAGAACAATTTAAAACAAACACACAGAAATACTGTTCAGAGATCATTATTTTAAAATACTGTGACTGTCACATGTTATTGAAAACATCTCTATCTAGCCTCTGTTTCCTTGGAGACCAAGGCTGTATCTCATTCTGGGAAAGTTACGCCCCTCTCACCTTGTTCTTGCTATCTTCACTAGCTAGTATTTGTGCATAATCTTTCCTGATTAACTTATTATAAAGAGACATTGTTGGTAAAACTGCTGGCTTTATTAAAGGAGGAAAGGAATGACTAAGCATATCATTTATTTGTTTATGTGTATGCTATCCCCCTTTTGGGGAACACATTGTTTGGGATTATTTCACCACAAACATCTACCTGTTTGAATCATATTGGTTTCTGCTGTAAGGCCTCTTTGGATAAATCAATTTTCATGCCAGAAGAACCTGCAGCTCTTGGGAACTGGAACCTGCGGCTCTTTGTACCCCTGAGGTACAGGTAGAGAATCCAACAAGCTCTCACAGTCCTACATCAGAATTAGACGTTCAACCATGTTTCCAAATGTCAATTTTCGAAGTGTTCGGGTTAAGTTCAGAAATTAACTCAAAATTCTTAAGGTTAGGCATTAACTCTGAATGGTTAAGGTAAGGGTTAAGGTTTTGGATAGGCTTAAAACCAAAAATATCAAAAACAACTTTCTATTGCTGGATTCGAACATGCACCCTTTGGAATAAGAGGCAGATGCAAGACACCCATCCACCATCCCCGTCCACATCTCCTGACATCCTCAGACATGGATGGACATCGAATACTGACTTGTATCACAGGTGACCTGGCTGAGAATCTCTTAGGTGAAATGTGTGTGGGTGGTTGAACAGAGACCTTTTGTAACTTCCATTGAATGAGATCCAGGAGTCAACAAGTCAAGCCTTGTTGAACAGTTTCCCTTGATATACTGTACTCTATGAAATATGTTTTTTCTTTTCTGATGTATTTCAGATGTAAGTCAGACTAGGCTGATTGGAAAACATGTTTTTAAAAAGCTTTGTGTTGCACCTTTTTCCACAGTTCACATTGGTTGAAACATTCAACGAATTGGGTGGAACACTATACCAAAACAAATATGCTAAAAGAAACTAAACTCTAGAAAGTTCACCTTGTCCTTCACAACCAGTGCTTGCTGCTGAGGCTTTGATTAAATCAAATCCTAAAGTATTGAGCAGCATACTAAAATATCGTATTATTAATTGCTCCAAAGAGAGACCGTCATTAGATAAGAATATGTCATGTCTTATCAAGAAGTGGGTGGATTTGATCTCCCGCTGTGTAATCGAGCAGGAGACTGCAGAGAATCTCTGACCTGTCTCACTTTTCTCTCTCTCTTTATCTCTCTCCCCAACCCTTCTTTCTCTTTCCCTTTTTCCACATTTTGTTACGTTACAGCCTTATTCTAAAATGGATTGAATAAAAAAAATCTTCATCAATCTACACACAATACCCCATAATAACAAAGCAAAAACAGGCTTTTAGAATTTTTTTAATAAAAAACTGAAATACCTTATTTACACAGATATATTCAGACCCTTTGCTATAAGACTCGAAATTGAGCTCAGGTGCATCCTGTTTCTATTGATCATCAATGAGATGTTTCTACAACTTGATTGGAGTCCACCTGTGGTAAATTCATTGATTGGACATGATTTGGAAAGGCACAGACCTGTCTATATAAGGTCCCACAGTCAGAGCAAAAACCAAGCCATGAGGTCGAAGGAATTGTCCGTAGAGCTCCGAGACAGGATTGTGTTGAGGCACAGATCTGGGGAAGGGAACTAAAAAATATCTGCAGCATTGAAGGTCCCCAAGAACATAGTGAGCCCCATCATTCTTAAATGGAAGACGTTTGGAACCACCAAGACTCTTCCTAGAGCTGGCCGCCCAGCCAAACTGAGCAATCGGGGGTGAAGGGCCTTGGTCAGGGAGGTGACCAAGAACCCGATGGTCACTCCAGAGTTCCTCTGTGGAGATGGGAGAACCTTCCAGAAGCACAACCATCTCTGCATCATTCCACCAATCAGACCTTTATTGTAGAGTGTCCAGACGAAAACCATGAAAAAAAAGATTATCTGGTCTGATGAAACCAAGATTGAACTCTTTGGCCTGAATGCCAAGCGTCACATCTGGAGGAAACCTGGCACCATCCCTACGGTGAAGCATGGTGGTGGCAGCATCATGCTGTGGGGATGTTTTTCAGTGGCAGGGACTGGGAGGCTAGTCAGGATAGAGGGAAAGATGAACGGAGCAAAGTACAGAGAGATCCTTGATAAAAATCTACTCCAGAGTGCTCATGACCTCAGACTGGGGCAAAGGTTCACCTTCCAACAGGACAACGACCGTAAGCACACAGCCAATACAACGCAGGAGTGGCTTCGGGACAAGTCTCTGAATGTCCTTGAGTTGACCAGCCAGAGGCCGGACTTGAACCCAATCTAACATATCTGGAGAGACCTGAAAATAGCTGTGCAGCGATGCTCTCCATCCAACCTGACAGAGCTTGAGAGGATCTGCAGAGAAGAATGGGAGAAGCTCCCCAAATACAGGTGTGCCAAGCATGTAGTGTCATACCCAAGAAGACTCAAGGCTGTAAATGTGATATTTCAGTTTTTTTCCAAATCATGTCAAATCAATTGAACTTACCACAAGTGGAGAAACATCTCAAGGATGATCAATGGAAAATGTGCAAACAATCTGTTTTTGCTTTGTCATCATGGGGTATTGTGTATAGATTGATGAGGGAAAAAATATATTGAATACATTTTAGGATAAGGCTGTAATGTAACAAAATGTGGAAAAAGTCAAGGGGTCTGAATACTTTCCGAATGCACTGTATATACGCTGAGTATACAAAACATTCAGAACACCTGCGCTTTCCATGACATAGACTGACCAGGTGATTCCAGGTGAAAGCTATGATCCCTTATTGATGTAACTTGTTAAATCCACTTCAATCAGTGTAGATGAAGGGGAGGAGACAGGTTAAAGAAGGATTTTTAAGCCTTGAGACAATTGAGACATGGTGTATGTGTGCCAAAGTGCCTTTGAATGGTGTATGGTATTAGGTGCCAGGCGCACCGGTTTGTGTCAAGAACTGCAACGCTGCTGGGTTTTTCACGCTCAACAGTTTCCCGTGTGTATCAAGAATGGTCCACCACCCAAAAGACATCCAGCCAACTTCACACAACTGTGAGAAGCATTGGAGTCAACATGGGCCAGCATCCCTGTGGAATGCTTTCGACACCTTGTAGTCCATGTCCCGACAAATTGAGGCTGTTCTGAGGGCTAAAGGGGGTGCAACTCAATATTAGGAAGGTGTTCCTAATGTTTTGTAGACTAAGTGTATATCAGCTTCTCAATATATATTCCTATCTCTTTCTTTCCCTCTCTCTCCCCCCTCATCTCTCTCTGTCTTTCTTCCAGGCGTCTGAGCTGGGCATGCTGTCCGTCTACTACACCTACATCTTCACCTCGCTGGTAAGGAGATGGGGTCTGCTGCTGCTACTTGCTAATGGAAATTGATGATGTTGGTAACACTTTGCACTAATGGTCCTGTAGAGATGATTCATATTGGCCTGATTGATGACTCATTAATGGGCTGCTGGAGCCCATGTTTTCCTCTTCCTCTCACCCAGTTGCTCGGATCCCCATGTCTTTTTTTGCCACTGGGTGCTGGGGGGCAAGAGAGGGGGGATCATTGTGGAGAATGATGATCCACACCCTCAATTTCCTCAACGAAGCATCATACAGCTCCATCCCTACAGGAAGAAGAGACCACTCGTTATTTATGTAATGCTCTTTCAATGTTCAGTTAATCACCCCTGTCCGTGCCAACGTCGCAATATTCCCTCGAAATGACATACACACACACACACACACACTGCTCAGCTGATCTTTCTCCACAAATGGCAGCTTTTGATTATGCCTATTTTCAACATGTAAAGAATACTGTTCGCTATACTTCCAAGTAATCAGGGAGTCAGATCACTTTATTCTGCTCCCACACAGAGGTGTGTAATCGTGGGTCTTTCTTCGGCAGGTAGAGTGAGTAATTACCCATTCCATTCATGTTGGGGGTGGGGAGAATGGGTGAGGGGGGAGATGCCCCCCTTAGCAATGCCTACCATGCTGTATGAAAAATCATTCCCCACTCTCTTGAGCACTATGTTTTGACATTACCACAGTGCTTAAGTACTTTTTTAAATGTGTTTTTAAAATATATGGTGGTTGGCCCAAAACAGACATTTTTTAAACATTTACAACGGAAAATGAGCATTTCTTATTGAACAAGTCCAGGTAGTCCCTCCCTATTTCAGTCAGTTTTCTTCCAGTTGGTGCCTAATGAACACGACCCTGGTGTGTAACATAGGTGTCAGTCCTGGTGCCTATGATGGCAGGCAGAATGGCTGTGGGGCACTGTATTAAATTAAATCCCATGTCCCCGATAATGCAGCAGCCCAATTTGTGCGTCAGCTGGGGGAGTAGACATTTGTAATTTGTCACTAGCTTAGATGTGGTGATAGGACAGTTTTGTGATCAGCCGCTCCAGAGGATGAGAGATAGTCACTCCTCACATCCTCTGTGTTATATATCATCTCTCTCTCTCTGTCTCTGTCTCTGTCTCTGTCTCTGTCTCTGTCTCTGTCTCTGTCTCTGTCTCTCTCTCTGTCTCTCTCTCTGTCTCTGTCTCTGTCTCTGTCTCTGTCTCTGTCTCTGTCTCTGTCTCTGTCTCTCTCTCTGTCTCTCTCTCTGTCTCTGTCTCTGTCTCTGTCTCTGTCTCTGTCTCTGTCTCTGTCTCTGTCTCTCTCTCTGTCTCTGTCTCTGTCTCTGTCTCTGTCTCTGTCTCTGTCTCTGTCTCTGTCTCTGTCTCTGTCTCTCTCTCTCTCGCATCCCTGACTGTCACCTCCACCTGCATTGATCTGTCTGGGAAGTTGGAACGTATTCAAATTGGTATGTGTGGTAGGTAATCCAGAGATCTTAACAGATACAGTGGGTCTCGTTTGGATGCAACACATTTGTGAGTTTAAAATACTGAAGCTGTGAATAGTTTATAATTCATTAAGATTAACCAAGGTATTCAAAAAGTAACATCCTGGAATGCAGTCATCCAAATTTGAATTTGAACTTGACCATAATCAACACTTTAGATGTTTTTTTGATTCACTAACAATCATACTACAATTGTCATAATGCTTTGAAATGTAGTTAACATTTACTCCTAATTAAAAAGTAAAATTGTACTGAAAATAGCACAAAGAGCAATCTGTGTCTGAGCAATCTGATATATATACACTGCTCAAAAAAATAAAGGGAACACTAAAATAACACATCCTAGATCTGAATGAATGAAATAATCTTATTAAATACTTTTTTCTTTACATAGTTGAATGTGCTGACAACAAAATCACACAAAAATTATCAATGGAAATCAAATTTATCAACCCATGGAGGTCTGGATTTGGAGTCACCCTCAAAATTAAAGTGGAAAACCACACTACAGGCTGATCCAACTTTGATGTAATGTCCTTAAAACAAGTCAAAATGAGGCTCAGTAGTGTGTGTGGCCTCCACGTGCCTATATGACCTCCCTACAACGCCTGGGCATGCTCCTGATGAGGTGGCGGATGGTCTCCTGAGGGATCTCCTCCCAGACCTGGACTAAAGCATCCACCAACTCCTGGACAGTCTGTGGTGCAACGTGGCGTTGGTGGATGGAGCGAGACATGATGTCCCAGATGTGCTCAATTGGATTCAGGTCTGGGGAACGGGCGGGCCAGTCCATAGCATCAATGCCTTCCTCTTGCAGGAACTGCTGACACACTCCAGCCACATGAGGTCTAGCATTGTCTTGCATTAGGAGGAACCCAGGGCCAACCGCACCAGCATATGGTCTCACAAGGGGTCTGAGGATCTCATCTCGGTACCTAATGGCAGTCAGGCTACCTCTGGCGAGCACATGGAGGGCTGTGCGGCCCCCGAAAGAAATGCCACCCCACACCATGACTGACCCACCGCCAAACCGGTCATGCTGGAGGATGTTGCAGGCAGCAGAACATTCTCCACGGCGTCTCCAGACTCTGTCACGTCTGTCACATGTGCTCAGTGTGAACCTGCTTTCATCTGTGAAGAGCACAGGGCGCCAGTGGCGAATTTGCCAATCTTGGTGTTCTCTGGCAAATGCCAAACGTCCTGCACGGTGTTGGGCTGTAAGCACAACCCCCACCTGTGGACGTCGGGCCCTCATACCACCCTCATGGAGTCTGTTTCTGACCGTTTGAGCAGACACATGCACATTTGTGGCCTGCTGGAGGTCATTTTGCAGGGCTCTGGCAGTGCTCCTCCTGCTCCTCCTTGCACAAAGGCGGAGGTAGCAGTCCTGCTGCTGGGTTGTTGCCCTCCTACGGCCTCCTCCACGTCTCCTGATGTACTGGCCTGTCTCCTGGTAGCGCCCCCATGCTCTGGACACTACGCTGACAGACACAGCAAACCTTCTTGCCACAGCTCGCATTGATGTGCCATCCTGGATGAGCTGCACTACCTGAGCCACTTGTGTGGGTTGTAGACTCTGTCTCATGCTACCACTAGAGTGAAAGCACCGCCAGCATTCAAAAGTGACCAAAACATCAGCCAGGAAGCATAGGAACTGAGAAGTGGTCTGTGGTCACCACCTGCAAAACCGGTCCTTTATTGGGGGTGTCTTGCTAATTGCCTATAATTTCCACCTGTTGTCTATTCCATTTGCACAACAGCATGTGCAATTTATTGTCAATCAGTGTTGCTTCCTAAGTGGACAGTTTGATTTCACAGAAGTGTGATTGACTTGGAGTTACATTGTGTTGTTTAAGTGTTCCCTTTATTTTTTTGAGCAGTGTATATACACTACCGATGAAAGTTTCGACACCTACTCATTCAAGGGTTTTTCTTTATTTTAACTATTTTTTACATTGTAGAATAATAGTGAAGACATCAAAACTATGAAATAACACATATGGAATAATGTAGTAACCAAAAAAGTGTTAAACAAATAGCAAATATATATTTTATATTCTTCAAATAGCCACCCTTTGCCTTGATGACAGCTTTGCACACTCTTGGCATTCTCTCAACCAGCTTCACCTGGAATGCTTTTCGAACAGTGTTGAAGGAGTTCCCACATAGGCTGAGTACTTGTTGGCTGCTTTTCCTTCACTCTGCGGTCCAACTCATCCCAAACCATCTCAATTTGGTTGAGGTCGGGGGATTGTGGAGGCACTCCATCTTAGTAAAATAGCCATTACACAGCCTGGAGGTGTGTTGGGTCATTGTCCTGTTGAAAAACAAATGATAGTCCCACTAAGCCCAAACCAGATGGGATGGCGTATCGCTGCAGAATGCTGTGGTAGCCATGCTGGTTAAGTGTGCCTTGAATTCTAAATAAATCACAGACAGTGTCACCAGCAAAGCACCCCCACACCATAACACCTCCTCCTCCATGCTTTACGGTGGGAAATACACATGCGGAGATCATCCGTTCACCCACACCGTGTCTCAAAAAGACACGCCGGTTGGAACAAAAAATCTCCAATTTGGACTCCAAAGGACACATTTCCACCGGTCTAATGTCCATTGCTCGTGGTTCTTGGACCAAGCAGGTCTCTTCTTCTTATTGGTGACCTTTAGTTGTGGTTTCTTTGCAGCAATTCGACCATGAAGGCCTGATTCACGCAGTCTCAGTCTCTTCTGAACAGTTGATGTTGAGATGTGTCTGTTACTTGAACTCTGTGAAGCATTTATTTGGGCTGCAATTTCTGAGGCTGGTAACTCTAACGAACATATCCTCTGCAGCAGAGGTAACTCTGGGTCTTCCATTCCTGTGGCGGTCCTCATGAGAGCCAGCTTCATCATAGCGCTTGATGATTTTTGCGACTGTACTTGAAGAAACTTTCAAAGTTCTTGAAATGTTCCGTATTGACTGACCTTCATGTCTTAAAGTAATGATGGACTGTCATTTCTCTTTGCTTATTTGAGCTGTTCTTGCCATAATATGGACTTGGGCCTTTACCAAATAGGGCTATCTTCTGTATACCCCCCTACCTTGTCACAACACAACTGATTGGCTCAAATGCAATAAGAAGGAAAGAAATTCCACAAATTAACTTTTAACAAGGCACACCTGTTAATTGTAATGCATTCAAGGTGAAGACCTCATGAAGCTGGTTGAGAGAATGCCAAGAGTGTGCAAAGCTGTCATCAAGGCAAAGGGTGGCTATTTGGAGAATCTTAAATCTAAAATATATTTTGATTTCTTTAACACTTTTTTGGTTACTACATGATTCCATATGTGTTATTTCATAGTTTTGATGTCTTCACTATTATTCTACAATGTAGAAAATAGTAAAAATAAAGAAAAACCCTTGAATGAGTAGGTGTTCTAAAAATTTTGACGGGTAGTGTGTATATATTTGAATCAGCTCCTTACAGAAGTGGAGTTACAGGTAAATGGAGTTCAGTTGGCTAGTTTTAATGGTAAGTGAACAGCGTAC